AGGCTGTATACCCAGCAGGAAGGATACACCTCATCCCTCCCTGCTCATTGTCTCCTGTGTGATTCGTTGTAAATTAATGCGGTCTACCAGGCCCTGGGGGCAGCTGAATTTACCATCCTAATCTGGTTCAACTACCTTGTAAATTTGTTAACTGACTAGTGCTATGATAGGCAGCCTTCTAAACCAGTTTCCATAGGTCTATACCTCCAGCCATCTACCTCTGCCCTTTGATGGGGGTTACATATAATGACTTCCTTCCAATATGTAGAATATAGCAAAAAAGGTTAGTAAAGCAGTTCCAAGAACAGAACGTGAAAGACTATGGCTCTCTCATTGGTTCTCTTGCTGAGACTTGGCTTGTCCACAGTGATGAGTTAGCTCCATCGGAATTGATGATGACTTCAGGCCAATATTTATCAAGAAAACCAGGTCTTCAATGCAACAGCCCACAAGTAAGTAACACTTGCCAACACCCTTGCGAGCATATAGAAGAAGACCCTTCTGCAAGGAAGCCTTGAGATGACTGTGTCTCAGCCAGTGCCTCTGTTACCACTTTATGAAGGACCATGAGCTGGCATCTCAGGGCTGTGTGGATGAACCGTGAAGGAGAAAGCCAGGGAAGGCCTTGCCTAGACTCTAGCTCTGCAAACCTGAGATAATAGCACTGTGTTTTAAGCTGCTGAGTTTGTGGCCATTTGCTCCCCAGCTATAAATAACTGACGTGGAAGTGTCCTACATAGTGATCTTTTGCTGAGTCAGGCATTATGCATTCCCCAGAAGTCCAGGAAGATTCCAATGAATCAATAGCATGGCTCCAACTGACACCCATTGCTGTAGTACGTCACTGCACAACACACACCTCACATTTGTGGCGAGGCTGGGTAAACAGCCCTGCATTACCAGTTAAACAAAAATATTACCTAGGGCCGGCGAGATGGCTCAGCAGACAAAGATGCTTGCTGTCAAGCCCGATGACCCATAGGGTGACAGGAGAGAACAGACTCTCCCAAGTTGTCCTCTGACCTCTTCAAGTACCCCGTGACATGAGAGCCCTCCCACAAAATAAAAAAGCGATGTAATAAAAACCAGGATAGCCTATACAACGATGTATAGCGTATATGAAGCAATCGTGATAATGAGCACTTTATGTATTACAGCACTGCTCATTATACTTTGCTGCATATTCCCTTTGCTTATAAACATGGGTGCCATAAAATTAAGTGGTGTAGTGCTGCAGTGGCCTCAGACAGTTTGTTGACTGCGTTTCTTGATTGCATCGGGAGGCTGAGTGGCTGTCCTTTCCTGTCTGGATTTATGTAAGCACATTCTCTGAAGTTCAAACAGTGATGAAACGGCAGTGCGGTGCAGTTCTCCAAACACATTCCCATGTCAGCAGCTCACGTTCCCATAATGACAGAATTAGAAGTCGATTATGGACTTTTTGCCTTCTGTTCCCGGCTCAGCACACTGCTCTAAATGGCGGCTTTGCGCCCCATGCAATGACCGTCAAAAGTCAATGCTCTTGTACCCAGAGTAAAAAGGGTCCTCATTGGTTGGCTGAACAAAACCTTCCCAAGCATTAGGATGGATCCTATCTATCAAAACTCAAAACAGGACAGTTTTAACAGGAACACACTCACTCCATTGTTAGGTGCAATCCTCTTCTTGTTTACAGAGGAGATTTTAAAGTTCCCTTCACAGGAAGTGTGTCCCTGGTCCCACTGCTCATAGCAGTACAGGGGACTGGGACTGGGGAAGCTGAAGGCAGAGCCACTCAGATAGCCATGCTATGTCTGAGGCCTTCATGGGCGTCAGGCCTGCACAGAAGGGGCAGGGCCGAGTCCCACCTCTGAAGCCCTCAGTGTCCTCCATTGTCATCCACGTGATTCCCCTTCCAGCTTTGGCTTGAAGACAGCCCATCTGTCCTGTCACCTCCTGAGATGGTCTTGAGTAATTTCCTCCCATTGTTTGTATGACTTCTGCCAAGTGTGGTTCATCTTGCTCTCCAGGCTGTCTTCTTTTCTGGATGATAGAAATGTAGCTCTCCAGCCTTTGTTCAGAGCTTGCCCTGCAATCCACCTGCTATAATTTCCCTTCCTATCTTGCACATAGGTACAAATACGCATTCTCCCCTGCATAGTGAAGGGTCTTGGAAAGTGGGCTGAACAAACATCATAACAATTTTGTTTGAGAAGAAGAAAATGGGGAATATCTTTGGTCTTCAGTAAGTATGGGAAAACCTGTTGGGAGGCTGACAAAGAGACTGTCATTTGGAAGCGTTTTTGGAGTTGTATTCATTTCTTTCTTAAGACAGAATGTTTTTATTAAAATGGGCCTATCAGATGTTTTCAACACATGCTTGATCAAGATATCTCTCTCTCTCTCTCTCTCTCTCTCTCTCTCTCTCTCTCTCTCTCTTCTCTCCCAACATTTTACTAGCTGTGCTCCACCTAGAGGTGAAGAGAGAGCATGGGTCTGGGCATGGACACTCATTCTCTCCTTGCCTCAGGGTTCCCGCAGGGCTCTTGTGCCACCATTTGTCTTTTTGGAAGTCTCCAGAAGCGTAAGACAACTGTGTTCCCTTCCCCTGAACTTGCAGCCCATAGAACTGCATCTGCGAGACATTCCTTGGGTTCTGTTTCACCACAAATGCTACCCAAGGCAGAATCAATGAATTCTATGCCTTTCCTTGTTCTCCTAGAGGCACCTTCAAGAGTCAGTTTGTTTTATTTCATGATTTTCAAAGCTTGGTTCCAGTTCTGTCTTCTTTGCCCCTAACTCCTTTATCTTTCTGTTTTAGGAAGCTGGAAATGAAAGCACTCTAGGACACAAACTTAGCACACATGGCCAGCAGCAGGGCTGAGAATGGTCACATTCGTACTGCAGCAGCAAGGCTCTCCACATTGCAGACTGAGACATGATCTTACACAGGATGGAATCTGGGAGACAATAAATGGAATTCATGCGTTGGCATGTGGTTTGGACTTCAAGAGCTTAGAAAGTGTTTCAATTCATGCTTTCATCCAAGCATGGCCATTCCTGTTTATCTCATGGATACCATGAAATTCAAAGAAGTTCTGAGATGTGTGTGTGTGTGTGTGTGTGTGTGTGTGTGTGTGTGTGTGTGCAGATGCAATCCATATGTAAATGCAATGGATATGTGTATGCAGGCAAGTATATGTATGTGTGTGTATGTAAACTAGAAGTCAACTCCAGCTGTTACCACTCAAAAGATGTTCACCTTAGGGTATTCGCTTGATGCTGCAGGGGTGGCATGTATGTGTAAGTATTTGTGAAGGCCAATGTTTGATGCCAGGAATCACTCTCCACTTAATAGATATCTCACTTCATCCAGAGCTCATTGGTTTGGCTAATCTAGGTAGCCAGCTTGCTCCACAGATCCCCTGCCTCTGGCTCTTGAGTGCTAGGATTCCAGGTGGGCCACTGTGCCCATCTGGCATTTCCATGGGTACTGACAATCTGAACTCCAGCCCTAATGCTTGCCACACAAATGTTCTACCCACTGAACTCTCTCTCTACCCCTACCTTGAATTTTGAGTTGGTGTCTCTCAATGGGACCTGGGTTCAATGACTGGGCCAGATTGGCTGGCCAGTGGCCCCCAGCGCACCTCCTGTCTCCAGCTCCCTAGATCTGAAATTACACACACACACATATGCCACCAGGCCCACATGTTTTCATGGGTGTTGTGATGAAGCTCCTATCTTCATGTTTGTACAACAAACATATTATCGATGAACTGTTCCCCCAGCCCCACCCACTTTTCTATGTTTTTAGTGGTAAAATGACACTAACCAAGGATCCTGGGTTCCCTGGACCTGATGTGACTCCTCTTTGGGAGATGAACTCCTGGAACCTGCCTCTACTCTCTCCCTCCTATCTTCTGGCTCTCATGCTTGACTTGTTTTCATTGCCTCTGTTTTTTTCTTGCTCTAAGAAACTGATACTTTGCAAGAACAAAAACATTCCTTAGAATGCCAAACCACGTTATTTTAGATCATTGATTCTCAGCCTTCCTATGCTGTGACCCTTTAATACAGTTCCTTATGTTATGGTGACCCCAGCAATAAAATTCTTTTCATTGCTACTTCATAACTGAACCTTTGCTACTGTAATGAATAGTAATGTAAATATCTGTGTTTTCCTATGCTCTTAGACGACCCCTGTGAAAGGGTTGTTTGATCCCCAAAGGGGCTGTGACCCACAGGTTGAGAACCACCATTTTATAGCTACAAATGGTTTGGCCTGGTCTCCTGAGTTTACCTATCTTGGTTTTTTAGCAGAGGATGGTGTTTTACAGCTGGGCTATCTTCATTTCCATCTGGGTACCAGGAAGAAGTAGATGGTAGATGAACAGGCCAGGAATGACATGCACTGAATCTGGTCTGATTTGAAGTGAAGGGAAAGAAGGATGGACAGAGCTTATGCACTGATTACGTTCCTTTAAAATTCACATATTGAAGCCATATAATGTGAATGTATTTGGAGACCACATCTTCAAAGAGGTAAAGCTAAAATCATCCCTAATCCAATCTCACAGATG